AATTGGTAATAACTACGACCCAGTCCTATACATCACTTTTAGCTCTATTACATTTAATACAAGTATTCAGTTGCTTTGTTACAATTTTTCAAAGAAGGAATACATATTAAAGCGGTGCAAATGTCAAATTTTCCATATCAGTCCTTAACATAGCTGAGCTACACAAAAACATGTAAATCAAGAGACAGTGTGTTTAAAACAAAAAAAAATTAATGCATGTCATTCATCATCATAATGGATTACTTTTGTAAAGAATATACATATTATCAGGATTATAATGAATTATAGTTCTCCAGTATTTACTTTGAAATCACATACTTTGGTGGTGTAAATTTTTCATAGTTTGAGTAAAAAGTCTTGGTTCATGAGGATTTGAATACGTGCATCAAGAAAATTAACCATCCATGAAAATTTGTGATATATCACAGTATATTCATATTTAATAACCTGATGATAATTATTGTGACAATAATCTTGATAATTCATAGACTACTTGTAATTATTTATATTGAAGATAAAATTAATTGTAAACGACCGTCCAACAATTACTGTATATTACTTAAGTACAGCTATTTATAAGAACCAGGCAGAAATGAAAATAAGTGATTCATGATAGTGATAGATTTTTCAAAAACTATCATATTTACATTAAGATACATCAAACTAAACACTTAATCACAGTTAAAAATGGATTTCATGCATGGTTGATTAAAAAATGAATTCAATATATACTGAAACAGTCAACAATATCCATTGAAAGGTGTCCGTACGTGCAGGTGATTTTTTAAGAAGGCCCACACTCTCCTTGAATGTGAATTATAAAATCTTGAACATCTAGTATCAAAGAGTAAAAAACAATTAATAAACCCATGGGTTATTTTAATTACAAATAATTTAATTTTGTTTGTATTCTTGCCTCTCATTGGTTGATTTCCAAAAAGGAACGCATAACATTTTGTATAATCTGGTTTGGTATGGGGACACACCCCCTTGACAACCAGCATAATCATCTGTATCCATCAATCCCCTCATTTCCAGTCCTTGGGATTCATGGAAAATTCCAGATTTAATGAATGTACCTTTAATTTCAAACAGTTACTCGATCTTACCTCATGTAAACAAGCATCATGGCTGCTAGATCTATGTATCAATTTTTACCTCCCCTCGCTTCCCATCACTTCCGTTACTACAGCTGTATTATTGCGCGGTAAATTTAAACTCATAAAAACAAAACAATTTTACATCCCCAGTTGAATAATTATTTTAAAATTAAATTATAAGGAATGACTCTAATTCTTGGCCAAATTATCGAGTATAATATGGTTTGGGTCAGTTTACGCTTTATAATCCGCGAAGCGGATTATAAAGCGTAAACTGACCCAAACCATATTATACTCGATAATTTGGCCAAGAATTAGAGTCATTCCTTAAATAGATATTGTGATTTTAAATTATGTAAAAACATGAAATTCTAGTTATCTCCCTTAGCACTCTTCAGTAAAAGGAGTTGGGAAGAGTGTATTTAACTCTTCAGTTTGGAAGGTGAGGATGAAGAAATGTGTTTGATTTCATCTTCATTTTTGAAGTTTTGTCGGTTTTCATACATCCAAAGGGCTTGTAAGTCTAAAATTTTTATTTAAAAAATAATATGTTTTACGGTGTGACCGTTAGGGCGAGCGCAGTTGTACCATCAAAAACACTTGAGATCAGCCACTTCGAACGTCAAGCCGCACGAGATATCTCGACTAGCTGTGATGTCATACGACGTCACAAAGCTCGTCGGAGCTTACTGAGACAGCCGAGCGTCTTTTTGAAACTATAGAACAAGTGCAATTTTTGTCGAAAAACATTGCAGAGTTATTTCTTGTTTCTTTGATAGATTTCTACAAACTGAAAGTCTGACATATGCTTTACGTTATTGTTTATTTATTTATTCGGCAATATTCGCGCAAAGGACATTGGGTAGTGCAGGAATTCTGGGAATGTTGCACAGAGAAATTTGGCTGACGTATGTACAGATTTCAATCCGAATTTCCTCTGTTCTTACACGTTAGTCTATTGAGCTCGCTTCGCGACGCTCGCTGCGCTCGCTATAAGCCTATGATAAAAAAAAATAACTGCCTGCAATTTGCTTAATTTTATCCGACAAAAACAAAATTTTATTTCCTAAACATGCTAAATGAGAGCAGAGTTTTCAAGAGTGTTTTGAAAAGGCTAAGTTGTCAAACAATAACATTAAAAACAACTTAAATTCAGTTATTTGGGGAAAACATTTGATTTTGTACTGGAATTTGAACACTATAGCTGGGGATTACAGTATGATGAGTATATCTCCTTTCCATCGATACTCCCTTAGTACTGCATGATATACACAGTTGACTGGAAGAAGTCCTTGATCTCATCATCCATGAAGTCATAGCAAGAAGCAGTGAAAGCTACAGCAGAGATTGGATGGAGCATAATTTTTTTCCATGTCTCGGCGCTTCTATGGATGTCATATAAATTTATATCAGGTATTTAATACATAACTCAGATTAATCAGAAATTCTTATAAATAACTCTAAGAAACAAAATTGTGAAACACAGTAACTGTTATTTTTCTAAAGATTTGCTAATGTCTAAACAAAGACACTATTGACTATTTTTTTCAAACTAAAAAAAAGGGGAAAGTCAAGAAAAATTGACAGCAAACATACAGGGTGACTGCAAATAAAAGTTATCAGTCCTGTTAAAAATCTACTGGTTTGAGATAGTAATTGTCTTTTGAAACTAGAGGTACTGTGAGCAATAAAGAGCAAATGAACCCCCCCCCCCTCTGCCTCCCATATGAATATAATTGTGTCCATGTTTTGCTATAGGAAACTGTTATATTAATAATGCCACATTTTCGTACAAATACCACTATTTTTTTGCCCAATTTTACTCTTAAATACACGAAATCTCATGAGCTTCCGGGGGCTTTCCCTTGCAGAAATTATTCCTGACTTGAAAATGCTTCTCAGGAATTCCTAAGATGTCCTAAGAATTCCTAAGATTTCCTCACAATCTGATTTGAGGAAATCCTAGGAGTAACAATCCTGGGATTTGATTTCAGGACATCCTAGGATCTCCCAGGACTTCTTTGTTAAACATTTCAAATCCAAATCTTGCCAGGACATTTCATTGTAAAGCCAGGAGTTAATCATTTTTATGATAATCCCATTTCCTAAGACTTTTGACTTAATGTTGGGACTTTTGTAAAAAAGACAAATTAAACTTTACAAACTTGTACATGTTAATAAATGTTAAAACAGAATGACAGGAAATTTTATTACTTTTAAAGTTTTAATGTATAATATCAAGAAAATCATAAAATGAAAAATTTTCAATCATTACATGTATATTATACTTGATACATAGAAAGACACTGACCCTAGAACTATTTTTTAAATTAAATACTTTCTGAAATATTGATGCTGTCAGGGAGGAGTTATACATGTAATATGTTTTAAAGAAAAAATTGTTTACAGACAAACAATATTTCACCATTTTCAAATCACACATTTCTGAGTTGATTTTTATCCATTAGAATTAAATTCTACACTTAATCTTTAGATTGCTTTGTTCATGGGAAACTGAGTGCAAGCACAGTTTTTTTTTCGAAAGCACTGGTCATACAAACTTGGCCATCTTGCAATACAACATCAAGTATTAATACAACTTCTTCTTTCTATGTAGAAGTAATATTTTCCAGAATGTTTCACTGAAAATAAAGTGTTCTTCTTAACTTAAAGTTGGTTTTCAAATGGCTTTGAATTCAGAAGACCATACATGCAGAAGGATGGAGTGGTAAATTTTCTTCATCTGTCAATTTAATTTTTCACTTCGCATTTCATTTCGACAAAATAAAACATATTTTCCTCAGAGCACGTTATAAGAAATGGCTCTCCTATACCGTCATCACCTGCATACAGTTTATATATCTCTCAGGTGGTTACCAAACTATCAGCTTCAAAGTCACATGCCTGGCTAGAGGTATCTTTTTTTTTTTGTATCTTCGTCTTATCAGTGTCATTTGGTTCATCAAACTGTCTTTGACATTACTATCTTTAACATCTTCATCCAAATCTGTATGATTTCGCTGTATATTCACCCATAACTGCCAGAGATACTATACAAAAGAAAAGTAAATATTGAGTCATTGAAAGAAGAGTACACTACACAAATTTAAATACTACATAAACAGCATACTCAAGAAGCATGACTTGGTCTGTGACATCATACTTTTGTCACTTTCTGACTTAAAAAGCTTGGTATTTCAAATTTTGTTGGGTTAGAATCGTGTTGTATTGAGTTTGAGAATATAATTCCTCATGTTTTTGATATTGAGTATTGCTTTTATTTAACGAGGAAAATCTAAAATACGCAGTAAAGAGTTTCCTGAAAATTTTATCCACATAAACAGAGATCAAAAAAAACTTTTAAAAGGTTTTGACCAAATTCGAGTCGTAACATAACTATTAAATACGATAAAAATGCGCTTTCCCTATAGGTTTTATCGCCATATATACTAATTTTCATTCATCACTTGGCAATAAGATACTTACAGACATCGTGACAGGCTTGTAGATGTGAAGAAAAGTCGTTGTTTACAGCACAATGTGACAACTTCATGATCCGCCATATTTGTGTTTGGACGGTTTCCATGCAAATTGTTCTTGGCCTAAATGTATCATCGTGGTTCTTCGAAAATATTTCTTCTGTAACACTTTCTGTTAGTAGAATTGGTTGATCAAGGATATTTATATTTTATTTTTCTAATATGCTGGTCGTTTGTCACTGATAATAACTTACGTGTTTTTTTTAACAAGATTCTCGGGAAAATGTTGGGATATTTCTTAAAGGTGTACAAAATACCCCTACACCGTGTCTGCAGCATTCTCTCGCGCGAACTTCCGAGAGGTGGTACAAAAGAGTGATCTTCGATCAATTAGTACCCGGTGTATAAAATATATTTACTGTCAACTCAGCTTTGAATATTAATTTGTCAGAAAATATTCGCTAAAATATATTTTCTTTTTGTAAAAAAAAAAAAAACGTAAATTCACATTAATCACAAATTATTTTCAAGAATAAACAAACCGCATTTTCTTGGTGTGGCACGAAATAACTTTACACCGTCCTTTATCATCCTCTCGCGAGACTTCATCGAGAAGCGCAAAATAGGAGTTCAAGGAGCGGCAATGTTTAGAGAGACTGGTGAAATGTAATGAAATGCACAACTTACGCCCAAGATTGACTCTAATTCTTCACATAAACCATGTTCTCTTTCCCAAAAATCTTGGTTTCGCTAGGAGTGCAGTAAAGGGAATGTTGGAAGAAGTGTAGATATCATGGCCACAGGCCAGTGGGGTAAGTGGCGAGTGGTTCCTTGTAATATGTATTTAAACACACAAATGTTGTTTAATAATTTAGTGCATGTGATGTGTTGTATATAATATTTCAATATTGAAACAGAAGAAACGATTTGAATATGTGTAAAAGGTTTTTGGGCATACTGTGATTCATTCTAGTCCATGAAGATCAAACGTACATTCACAGTGAAATACTTCCAGGTTTTACATGTTAAAATTTAGTAAGCAGAAGACTTATAAACAAATATTTATTATTAGTTACTGTTAAATTTGCATTGAATGTTTTGACATGGTGTAAATTTTGGAATTATACTCTTAAATAAAGCCTTCATTGCATTGTTATCTTCTAGCTAGAACCTTGAAGCCTGGCAAGGATTATGAGACTGGAAACTCCCATTGAGACTACCAAATGAAGAGAAAGTTTCAGGTATCTTGTAATTTTTTAAAAAATTTTCTTTTGTAAACTTGAAAGAATAGACGGATTTCACATTCCTAAGAGTTATTTCTGGTTGTCGGCGTAACACTCATTTTTCCCACTTTGTCCTTTGTAAGTTACCTGGAAATATTTTTATTTTCAGACATTTATATCTAACAATATCGGTCTGTAACTGTATTGCCAGAATATGGGGCAACTTTAAAAACATAATGAAAAAATTCATACATACTATATTTCTGAGATACTGACCCATAAAGTTGGTAAGGTAATAGAGGGGAAACAGTGTCTTATGCCGGTTGACCCTGGATTGACCCCGCAAAGGGGAATAACTTTTGTAAATGTGAAAATCGTCTATGAAAGTTTATGGTACATTTCAATCTCTGTAACTTATATTAAGTTGGGAAAACTGACGCAGATGTCGTAGAACACACAAGATAATATTCACAAAATTTAGAACAGAAAAATGAAAAAATCAGCAAGAAATATCAATGACAGTCATCATTAAAATTAATTTCAGCTAGATTACAAAAGAACAAATATATACACGTCTTATAAAAAATTTTATTGATAACTTTGCAGACTGTTTAACTCGGACTAAGGGAAAAGAAGCAAATTACAACAAGGAGAATATTGCGGAGAAAGGTTAGCTGTTCAAATAATGTTAATGTATGATTTTAATGTTCTGTTCACACGGAGAGTTTAATTCACAGTATTTTAATGCCAAGTAAATTGACTTCATACGACAGCTGTGGTAAAGCGGTTAACTATTGCAAATTAAAATTTCATTTTCTACAAAAAGGCTATTCAGTAAGATTATTATGACATCATTTGTAAATCACGTCATGTATGCAATTGATTAACACACCTTTTTCCTTATGCAAGTGTGAATAAAATAAATCTTTTGAGAAAAATGGTTCATCTTACTTGGGCAAACACATATTTTTATGGACTGGTAGAACCTGAAAGCTTGGTACAATTGTAGCATCTTTGGCTACTAAATTTTACAAGTTTGATTTTCATCCCTTAGAAATAATTACATATTTAGACTAAACAATGGAATACATTAAGTAAAATTTTATTTTAGCAAAGACAAGTGAAAAGTCGAGTGAAGAAAAAGCAAACAAGGCTTCACGATCTGCAACTAGGCCACTGACGATGAAGAAGAAAAATGTACAGCTAAAGAAGATACATCAGTGATCAACTAAAGCTGGGCGACTTATATTGGATTCACGAGGTGCAGGGGGGATATTAATTTGGGTCTGTTTATCTTTCTAGTTGTCAATCTGTCTGTCTGTAACACTTCGTTCTCTTAACATTTCCAAAAAGCCATCAGATATTGCAATGTCATTTTATTTATATTATAACTCATTTTGACGATCCCACTGCAGAACATGATTAATCATCAATACAAATTTAATATTGTTTATAAATTAAATATTACCCTTATATATTTTGAAGTGAAATGGTCAGAGGTCAAGGCCTTTTTCGGGGGCACATATTGTTTTTGCCTGTCTGTTTATCTGTCTACTGCCAATTTACCTTTTGCCATAACTTTTGAATCATGAGAGATATAGATACTTCATATTGGGTATGCTTACTCCACTTTCAAATGAGACCAAGACCAATGACCTTGACTGTCATCGTTATGCTAAAATATAGCCTTATTGAATCTTTCACTTTTGAACCATAAAATAAAGAGGTAGAGATTTTATATTGAGTATCCATACTCCACTAACTAAGTTCTTTCAAATTACATCAAGGTTAATGACCTTGTGACTTTGACCTATATGTTTTTGGGTTTTTTTTTTCAAACTTTGATGCCACCAGGTGCATACTGCTTTTGTTTTTTTTATGGGGGGGGGTGTTATGAATTAGTTCTGTTTGGTATCTGAATCTTTTATTGTACAGAATTCTTCAGAAGTGACGAACCCTGAGGGCCTCACCCCTACTCTCTATACTAGGTTGTTGATTTAAATATTTTTTTTATTATTATTAATATTTGTCATTGTACATGTATATCATAAATATTCTATGAGAGCTGCTTCAGAATGTATTAACATAGTTTGAAAATAAGACAATCTGTTTCCCCCCTTGTGTGTAAATCATGATGTTGAATCATAACTGCACTATAATGTAACAGCAGTAAAATTGTAAAGAATTTGTTGAATCAGATACCATCAGCATTTTTTAAAAATTATTTTATGTATTATTTTTTCTGTGTGGCCATGAATTTTTATAATGCATACATTCATTAAATTTTTTTCAGAGATCTTATAATTCTGCTTTGTTGCTATGTATGAATTTTTAAAAAAAAGATGTCCTAGGAGGCTAGGATATCCTAGGAAATCCTAGGAATTCCTGATTTCCTAGGACATTTTAAGTGTTGAGATTTCCCTGGGATATCCTGGGAAGTCTTGGTGTTTTGATTCCTGGGATTTTTCTAGAACCCCTGAATTGGGACTGTCCAAGGAAATCCCAGGAATTCCTGTTCCAAAAACATCTCAGGAAATCTTAGGAATAATCCTAGGATTTTTTCAAGATATCCCAGGAATAAATCTTAAGATTGTCTTAGGATTTCTTAGGACATCTCAGGAATATTCTGCAAGGGTTGCCTCCTGGACCCCTTCATTCAAACTATGGTATGACTAGCATATGACTGTACTTTGGTACACAATTATCAAGACCCCTTGCCTGAACAAAGTTATCCACCCATGCCCCCCCCACCCCCCTGATCACAAATCCTGTATCATGATACCATCAGTTGATTTGGAAGTGATTAATCAAATTAATAAATTTTAATTAATAAAAACTTTAAACAAGTCCAGCTGGGCATCTATATGTGCAAATTTGTAAGCCCACAGCAAAATTTTTGCGTATCGGGCAGTCAGGTGTTACATGTATTTCAAACACTGTTTTCGGAATGGGTCCTTTTTAAAATCGGGAATATTTAATTAAGCCCTGAAAAAAAAACAGATGTTATGGCAAAACCATGATTACTATTTTTCTTATTCTTTGAATCAAAATGTAAAATTGTGCGCTTTTAAACTCTATATATTTCCAAACTTATATTGTATGATATTCTTCAAATGCATTTCCCTTTATTTGAATTATAAATAAGGGTGGAGTGTCTTACAAAATTTAATTGACAAGCAAAACACCCAATAAAATAATGGCTTGGTAGTTATGGTTTTATCAGTTGAAACGGGGCGAGGGGGTGTTAACCTTCTCAAAAAATCTGAGAAAAAGCCAAAAATCCCTATCCAAATAAGGGGGGGGGGCTTCCCAAATATTCCAACAAGCAAATATATACACACATAGAAAGAGAGAGATTTATAGATATGAGAGCACATACATTGTACAATATGGATGGGTTTCTGCCAATGGACTGGTCTCATCTAATTTAGATTTAAAACTTAATAAAATTTGATCCTACAACATGTACAAAACTATAACTCTTTTTCAATTTATAACTAATAGTATGAATTCATGATGATATCACTAGTCCATTGGGGAGTGGGGAAGGTAAATAAATATTTAATTACCAATAATTCAAAAGCTAAATTGTTATATAAATGTATGCATTCTCTTGTCATATGATGAATTTCATGATTTGTTATCATTTCAGATGCAATCTGAGTCTTGTGCTGAATTTCAATATCCCCTTTGACAACACCTGCACAGCTGAGGTAATGTAAACTTTATAAAAAACTGAGGACCATCGTCACCAAGAAAAGATTATTAACTCAACTAACATTAGTGTTACATATATACTTTATATTATTTATGTATCATTAGATAATTTGGTAACTTGCGATTTTTTTATTATCATTAAGAACATTCCTTTTCGTTTAGCAATAATTGTGATCACTGCCATTCAAAGACTTTGAAACAGGTATTTCTTCTGATCTTGATCTCTGATATTTTTAGCTCACCTGAGTCGAAGGCTCAAGTGAGTTTTTCTGATCAAAGTATGTTTTTTGTCTGTCATTGTCATTCTTCAAGGGGAGAGAATTACAAAATTAATAGCATTACTGATATCTTCTCAAGAACCATTGACCCAGGAAAGATGAAACTTATGCGGAACCATTGTCGGGTAGTGTATATATTCAAATTTTTCAAATCATGAACCCCCAGTGTAGAACGGGGCCACAACGGATGATCAAAGTTTAACACAGGAATATGTAGAGAAAAAATTTTAAAATCTTCTTGGATACAGCAAGCCCTGATTGGTAATATTTATATGAAAGCATTTTCAGGTCGTGTAGATTCAAGTTTGATCAAATGATGACCCTGGGGATAGGGTGGGACCACAAAGGCCAATCAAAATTTTACATAAAAATATAGAGGAAAAATCCTTTAAAAATTTCTTCTAAAGAACAGAAAGCCAGTAAGTTATATATGCATATATACATATGGAAACATTTTATCGTAGTGTAGATTTTTTCAAATCATGACCCCCCCCCCCCCCAGGTATAGGGTGGGGCCACAATAAAAGTTCAAACTTGTATGGAAAAACTCACAGTTAGTAAAAAATAGGTACCCCGTAGGCATCCTTAGTGTAGATTCAGTTATGTTCAACTCATACCCCTCCCTCTCTCTCTCTCTCTCCCTTACAGGCACAGGGGCCGGTAACATACTGTATTTGATTTTATATAATAACTATATGTATATAAAAAGAAAAAGGGAAACAACGACAGCCCGAATTTACACAGGGTCGATTTCGGAAATGATTCGTGTTTTTAGTAAAATACCTTGCAGTTAGTGAAATAACGCCTGGGATCATTCAGCAATAATCACTCTTTAATAAAATACCATCGCGGTCATTTAAGAATCGTGTAAGTCGTGTTTTGCAAATCCGATATCATGTCATGCAAGTGATGTAGTTTAAGTCGTCCACTAAATTCGCTTAACATTGCATCCAAGATTTAACGCGAGATGTGATTGGTCAATAGTGCTCTTCTAGAACAGATCTGACCAATCACGCTCCGCCTTTTACCAATCATGGGTTTTTCCAAAATGTCGTCTGTTTTAGGCTCGGGCCCTATTGTGAACGAAAAAAGCTACCGTATTTATTCAAATTGGAGATGTTGTACCTTTTAATTGCAATTAACAAAAGAAAAAGATGATTTGAACGCTGGAGCTTTATTTTGTGTTTTCCATCTCCGGAAAGACTTCAAAACTGGAGAAAATATGCGAATTTTACCTCGTTTTAGTGGACAACTTAAAGTACATCGACTCGCATAACAGGATATCGAGTCAGTATTACCCAACTTAAACGCTATATAAATGAATGATGTTTCTGTTTTATTAAAGAATATTTATTGTAGTATGATTCCTAGTTATAATTTAATTGGCTACATTGTTTTTTCTATGAAATATGAAATATTTCCGAGATCGACCCTGTGTAAATTCGGACTGACGTTGTTTCCCTTTCTCTTTGTATACATATAATAGTGATTACGTAAAATCCAATACAGTATGTTACTGGCCCCTGTGCTTACAGGGGGAGGTCAGGACCACATTTGCTTTTCAGCTTTTCAATACAAAGCTGATTTTTAGCTCTACTGGTCAGAGACCAGAAGAGCTTATGCGATAGTAATGCGTCCGGCGTCCGTCCGGCTGTCTAGCTGTCTGTCTGTCTGTAAACAATTTTTCAAAATGCTACTTCTCCTACAGTTTTGGTCCGATTTCAATATAATTTGGCACACAAGTAGACTACACTAAGATACATAATTCTGAGCATCGGTTTTTGATTTTTATGAACGGTGTTTCCGTGGTTACTAAAAATAGAAATTTCTGTGAAATTCTTTCAAAATGCTACTCCTCCTATAGTTTTGGTCCTATTTCAATATAACTTTGCACACAAGTTGACTGCACTAAGATACATAATTCTATGCATTGGTTTTTGATTTCAATGAGCGGTGTTGCCATGGTTACTAAAAATAAAAATTTCTGTGAAATTCTTTCAAAATGCTACTCCTCCTACAGATTGAATCTGATTTCAATATAGCTTGGCACACAAGTAGACTACACTAAGATACATAATTCTGTGCATCGATTTTTGATTTCGATGAACGATGTTCCGTGGTTACTAAAAATATAAATTTCTGTGAAATTCTTTCAAAATGCTACTCCTCCTACAGATTTGGTGCGATTTCAATATAACTTGGCACACAAATAGACTACACTAAGATACATAATTTTCTGTATTGGTTTTTGATTTCGATGAGCGGCAAGGATCATTTTTCTATTTATTGCTGTTTTAAAGTTTCAGTCCCAAATGCTACTTTTCCTTTGTTTTTAAATATAAACCAGTAGAGCTACAGTCTCGACAGAGACTTCTGGTTAAATTTTTTATCCAAGCTAGATGAGTGATGTGGCCCTGGATCTCTTGTTAAATAATTTATCTACACATATATGTACAGTACAACTCGGTTATAACAAACTCACTGGGACCTGTAAAAGTACTTTGTTATATCCATAATTCGTTATATCCATATTTGAAATTTGTAAAATTTATGTAGTTGGGGATCCAAGAAGACTTCATTATATTTGTGAATTCACAATGTCCATGTTTACAAGTACTCTACAAGTTTTGCATGTGGAAGTCAAATAAGAGTAAAAGATGTATTAAGATCACAGTGTCATCTTCATTATTTTGTTCAATCCATACAAATGTTTCTTTGAATATTGGAAAATGAAATCAGCAGAAAGTTAAAAATTAAAATTTATAAAATGCAGCTGCTATCTAAACAGAATGTTTGCCGTTGATAAAAAACCATTTTCAGATTAGCAAGGCTGTAAAAGTCATACTAATATTCAGAATCAAATAACAGCTAATTACTTGAGACAAGGATGGGGTGAGGGTTAAAGAAGGGGTTACCTCACTTGAAAATTTAGAGAAGAATTGTAGAGCTGGGGTTTTTCCTACAGATCTACAGGGCCTATTTTTACCAAACTTGGCAGGGCTAAGGCCTTTTACACGGGGAAGAAAAGAGAAAAATAGATAGCAACTGGGTCAGAAAAGCTGAAACTTAAGTTAAAGCATCCATGGGTTCTAAATTGTTTAAATCATGCCCCCCTACCCCTAAGAATAGACCACAATAGGTATGTATTACAAGTAGGAAAATCTGAAGAAGAACAGCATGACCAGTTACTCTGGTGAGTGTTATGGACCATGGCCTTCATGATCATGATTATAGAGAAAACAAACCTTAGCTACCCTCTTCCTTCAACAGCAACAAGAACAACATTGCTTTATGGAATGCCTATTTTCATTAACAAAGTTCAAATTTTGAATATTTTTTTCCAGATTGATGAATCAACATCATGCATTATGTCAGAGGAATTTAGCTGGAGCACCTGTTTAACAGCCAGGACACATACTGTACAGTATTTAGATCATGTCTCATGAATGGTTATTCAAAGTTACCATAGAAACCAAATATTTGTTTAAAAAAAGCTAGGTACAAAAAAAAATGTTGTGTCTTTCAATATTTTAGCTAATGGCCACTCATACAGTTTTCTTCATACAAGCTAATCACATTAGCTAAATTTTATAGGCAAATACAATATTTTTGGAGATGTTGTCATGGTAACCAGATACAAATCACAAAAGCATATTTAAAAAAAATATATTTTCATGTATTTACAATAAACTTTGAAAATAATAAATGTATGTTAGTCAATAATTATTTTGTATTGTATGGCAGTGCTCCAAGTCGCACTTACTTTTAGGTCGCTAAATGGCGACCTAAAAATTTTTTTGGTCGCCATTTCAGAATTTCTGGTCGCCATAAACAAATTTTTCACTCGCCATGATTAAAACATGTAAATAACACTATTAAAACAATAAACTAACATCCACATCTGTTATGTTTTTATTAAATCAAAGATTATTAACTACTGTGACTAGAAATGTTTTGCTAGTTGAAGGATAAATTTTTATTAAATACAACCACCCCTTGTTAAGTACATGTACACAGAAGAACACAAGTAATCTGATCCTAGAATTAGAGTTTAATCAAAATAAAATAAATCTTTGACAGTTGTTAAGACAGGACTTTGTTTATCATGTTTACCTGTTAACTTACTATTATGTATCTTAACCATAACTCAGTCGTTATCAATGCTGCCAAAACACTCAATTGTGATATGCAAGCCATTGACCAAATCATGCTCTAATAACAAAGTCAGAGAAAGTCTATAAAGTTTACGGCGTTTGGATGCCATTCTCTCAGAAACGTTATGTAACTATTACAGCATGCTGTCATAACATTACGTGATCTAAGTCCATACGACGCTTTGTAAAGTGTGTTAAAGTATTTATCTTCAAACGTTGTCTTGATAGAGAATCTTGAAAACGTAAATCTCGATCCCGATCATAAAAAGATGGACGTTGCCAGCCCAAATTTTTCAGTCGCGAAAATGCAACTAAGTTTTAATTTCTAGTCGCAAAACCAATTTTTGGGTCGCAAATGCGACCGTTTTAGTCGCAACTTGGAGCACTGTATGGAGATTTTGTAAAGACAATTTATTTAGAAAAGCATTTCCAGAATAATGTGTTACCATGGTTACAAAAATTTATGAGAAATCCACTGGTTTTATCTAATATTTGTAGGGTTTAGGAGAACATTTTCTATCTTATATTATCTAATTTTTTGTGCTTGTGGTATTTTTTCCACAACATACTCTGAAAATGATGTATTTTGGTATTTTTGTTGAAAAATGAATTTTTTGATATTCTGTTGCCATGGTTACAGAAATATTTTTGAACAACCCATGGGTTTTGTTTTGTTTTATTAGAATTAAGAATGTGGTCTTTCTATCCCATGTTTTCAGTTTTCTTTAACATGTGTGATTTTTTCTTACTATGCTCTTAAAAATGGTTATTATTGTAAAAAATAAATTTTTGTGACATTTTGTTGCCATGGTAACAGAATGTTATATGAAAACCCATGGTTTTTATTTTATTGTATTGAAATTAAGAATGTGCTCTTTCTATTTCACATTATCAGATTTCTTTAACCTGTGGGATTTTTTTTATACTATGCTCCTAAAAAATGGTTATTATTGTGAAAAATTAATTTTTGTGACATTTCAATGCTATGGTAATAGAATATTTTTCAAAAACCCATGGGTTTTATTTAATTTTATTAAAATTAGGAATGTCCTCTTTCTATCCCATGTTATCAGATTTCTTCAACATGCGGGCCTTTTTCTTAATATGCTCCTAAAATATGTTGGATTTGAAGAAATATTGTGAAAAGTGAATTTTATGAAATAACCTATGTTAAATTGAAATTCAGTACCTTTAATAAATCCTATATAATTCTATCCTTATGGTTATCATTTATCATTTTGTATGTACTTCTCAGGAAAAAAAAGATTTATTTATGGTACTATCATCAAACTAGAACTGTCCAATAGGGACAAATACCCCCCGCTGGGTTTTTCAGAGAAGGTGCCAATTCAAAACATACTTTATGGATCTAGAGGTTCTTACTTACTTGCATTTAATTTACCTACAAAAATTTGCAGTGAAATATAATTGCTCATGAATGAAACAAAGGTGCAACCAAATGAAACATCAATACTAATTCATTGTAATTCCATTGTAACATTATTTTTTTTATTTAATTTTTTTATTTCTGCATTAAAAAAATATATTGCAATTATGTTATGTCACTCTGCAAACTGATTGTTGAAAAAAAAAATCATATTATACAAAATCAAATTAATCTTGATAACTTAATATCAAATTCATTTGAAAATAAAGAGCTGGTCATCCAGTAATGAAGTGCTTTGACAGACAATAAATTACAATTAAGAGAATAAGAGAAGAGAGATCTTTAATTCTTGTGCCTGATTCCCAGGAGATTACACATGGTTGATAATGAGATGCCTTAATGTTCAACTTCCCACACCAAACTCATTAATTTATCTTTAACTGGATGCATGTCCAGTCATTATTCCCAAGAGATAAATAAAATTTCATTATCTTCTGTGCAATGTAAAAACTGTTTTTAACACTTAATGATGTTTCTTTTTTTTTTGTTTATATATGAGTAGTTTTAAGCTGTAGTATTTTTGTACAGATATTCTAGATTCTATGTCTCAAACCTTATACATGAGCCCAAAATGAACAAGTCAATTAATATAAAAAATAAAACCTGTAAAATGCAAAAAAATGAACAAAAAGAGTTGAAAATTCCAGTTGCACACCTTCATATGGTGAATAATAAGTGTACAAATTTTCAGATTAATCCTTGCAATAGTTTCTGAGAAACGATCCGGACAAAACCACAAAATAAAAATGGAAAAACACCTGTAAAATTCAAAATAATAATCGAATCAAGATGAAAATAACAGGTGCACAACTTCATATGGTGAATAATATTTGTACAAATTTTCAGACAAATCCTTCCAATAGTTTCTGAGTAATGTTTCGGACAAAATCTCGTCTACAGACAGACAGACAGACGGACATGGTGATTCCAATATACCCCCCCCTAAACTTCGTTTGCGGGGGGTATAAAAAGCTATCTTCCTGTCTTCATTAATAGCTAAATTCACATTTTTCTCAATTTTTTGCTTGGTTGCCATGTGCATTTACATGGTGCATTGTTTCCATGGCAACAAAGGCTGGCCGAAAAAATTATGGTGTCCAATGATGATCTCTTGGTCCATGAAGCAACATATTAAAATTTAATTTGTAAATATCTGAAATGGTCATGAATCACTCCCTGCCTGGTTCTTACAAATAGCTGTACTTAATCTCTGTGACACCTTATTTTCGAGAGATAGTCATTGACTCTTTATTAGCGAAAAAATATTTAAAAAATTGTGGTCATTTTTCTATATAATCTGGCTCGAGGAATTCTTTTATACGAGAGAATGAATTTTTCGCGAGCATACCATTTCGCGTAAATACTAATAATTACATGTATCCCTCAAAAAGTTACTCACCAGTCAGAGAGTCTGTATCTACCACTCTGTATATGTAGACTGTGTTGTTGTACCCTGACCCTACCCACAGTAATTGGGTGTCACTATCATAACTCAGGCCGTATGGTCTGTCTATTCCATGTCCTTGTGTCTGTATCCCTGTCATGTAATGGCCATCACAGTTTAACATCTGTACTGACTGGGTGTTCCAATCACACAGCAGGATGTGTGACAGCGCGTCAGTACAGATTCCACGCGGCCTTAGTACTGATCCTGATGAAGGACCTGTGTAGGAGAATCGGTAATTACCGTCACGATCTGTCACCACTACAGCATCACGGTCCCAGTCAGACACAATCACATTTCCAATACCGTTCTCTGTGATATAGAGAGGTAGACTATATAGTCCCCGACCTGTGTTGTTGTTGTGTTCTATGGTCTGGATAATTTCTCCTGTAGAGTTATACCGCACTACCTTGCCTGTCAATGTATCAGTATGAGACATCGCGACCAGCAGGTCTCCAGTGGAGCGGGAGCAGTAAACACACCGTGGTACCCATGGTGATTTGTTGAACTTTATAATTGTAGATTTGTCTTTGCTTTCTTTAGACAGTTTATTGATATTATTCTTTCTGTCTATATAAAATAAATCACAGTCACTGTTCACAGTGTGTCCTCCCCATTCACTACCTATATCTGTCACATGATCAAGATTATCCCCTGTTGTGTTTGTCAGTATGAGATTTTCATAATCACTGATCCAGACCTGGTCTGATGTCACGTGAGAAATATGACGACCAGTCCTAACACCTGGCACTGTGACAGATTTCTGAAACACGAATCTATACATCATTTACAGCAGACATCGATTTCTTCTAGTCCTTTCTTGTGGTTCTTCATAACAAAGTCATGTCGACTTCTTTCCCTGAAAATCACAATCTTATCTATAAATATCTACATCATTCAGTTACACTTCTCTTTTCACAATATACATATAACTTTTCCATTTTAAGAGGTTAAGAGTTTATAGCTAACACACACAAAAGTACCTTTACAATGAGTGCTGAATCCTTTTAATGTCTCTTTGAGGAGCAGGATCCAAGTATTCACTATGAAATCTAAAACAAAATATTCATATATTAAAATATTGTTGAAAATCAAATGCGTTTTAAAAGTCTTACACATATACCACGAATATGATTCATAATACATCTAACAAGTAATTATTTCTAGTAAAACGTATCAACTTTATAATAATAGCATACTTAAACATGAAACACTCTTGTTACAAATTTATATACTGTACATGCTTACAAGATACCCCGGAGCAGAGGAGATTTTCAAGGAAATAGTCCATTTGCACTATAGATTCAATATAGACCCACCCTTATACCAAAGCCCCTGACCCAGGTTCCAAGATAATTTATACAATTACGGTCTTCAGTGTAGGTCGAAATGTAATTGTAAGGACTCATGGCAATTGATAATCATATTGATAATCATATTGACCAAATTTAAGACGCAGAAAGTGATAGCAACCGAGCTTTGGAGTATGTTTATAATCATGTCTACTTTTAATCACTTAATTTCGCGACACTTTATTTTCGCGGGATAGTAATTGACTCTTTATTAGCGAGACAAAATTTTCACGAATTGAGGTCATTGCTCTATATAATCTTAAGAAATAATATTATACTAGAGAATAAAATTTATGCGAGCATACCGTCTCACGTAATTACACGAAAATAAAGTTCTCGCGAATAAAAAGTGATTTACAGTAATGATGTATAAAAGTGATTTACAGTAATGATGTATAATCACCCAAGGTGAATGCACATACACAGTCCTAACTGAACAGGCTTGGCTGTCATTTCGTCACAATGGTTACAAACACACTTCTTATATTATGACCTCACGTTATGCGTAAACTTTGGTGCAACCGAACGGTGTGTCCTGTGATATCCTTTTCCGTGGATGTGCTTTCGCATCGATATCACCAAAGGAGGAATATAACATGACATACTTTCAGCCAATGAACATTATGAAAATAATCTTAATATAATATCCAGAATTACTCATCATAACCATCTACTTCGTATGTTTCTTCAAAGATTTTCAAAGAATTATTGCATTTCTACTATACAGCAAAAGTTGAAATTCATTACCCGAGATCAGAGATTTTGGTGTTAGGGTGGAGCTCTTTCAATTGTTTTTGGAAAAGATTTCCTTGCTTATCAAAAGCATGCAATTAATTTTTTTCTGCAGAATACCGTGGGGCAGAGAGAGATTTCCACAATATATTAAACAGCCCCAAAACATGAGCCCTTGACCCTGGGGCTACAAAATTCACTATTCTGTAAGAGGCATACTTGATTATTATAGCCCTTATAACCATGCACCTAGTTTATCTGCTTTATATACGGGGGGATAGAAGATTTTTACAAGAATATATGCATTTTCACTAAATGATCAAAAAGGCCCTGGCTAAGGAGCCAAGATATTCAGAATTTTGGAAGAGCCCCCTTGTTCATCATAACCATATACTTAGTTTATTTGCTAAATCCTACAAGCAGAGAAGATTATAAATTAAGAAAAAATGCACTTTGCATTCACTATATAATCAAAAGAACCCTCCATGCCCAGAAATCCTTACCCTTGGGCCACAAATTTCACATTTTTGTACGAGGCACCCTTGACCACCATAATCATGCATGTACGTAGTTTATCAGCTTTATATACAGGGAAAGAGGTTTTGAAAGAATTTAATATGCACTTCCCAATGTGATCAATAGAACCCGCCCTAACATCTGAACTCCAGTCCCAGGGGCCAAGATATTCACAATTTGGAGGAGGCACCTTTTTTATCATAACTATGTCCTTGGTACAGTCTCTAAAATCAAGAAGCAAAGGAGATGATTTTGAAAAACCATAATTAATACATTTGCATTATATTACCATTAAAGCCCTGCCCTAACACCATGCAGAACTCTTGTCCCATGGGCCTTTAAAATCATAATTTTGGAAGAGGCTCCATTATTTATCATGAGTATATGCTTACTTACTTTATCTGCTAGGTAACTAGGAGCAGAGGAGATTTTTCAAAGAATCTATGTACCGGTATTAATTTTCACAATATACCGTATAACGGGTATTTTCTGCGGTTGGAAATTTTTGCGGTTGAACCCCTAAAAGGTAGCAAATTAATTTCTGCGTTTTCAATTTCTGCGGTTGCACTTTACCGCAAAAATTATATACGGAGTGTATAAGATCATCAAACTCTAAGATTTATAAGAACACTGCCATGATTACGTTTTGTAAATTCATTCAGGCACATGAAGGAAAAGAACAGAATGAACATGAGAACAGGTATTGCGCTCTTAAACTACTAACTTTAGTCACTCTTTGTAAAATTATGCCTAGTCCTGATATTATTTTTTGTAGCAACAGAACTTTTCCAGTCAAACAATAATTAAAATCTTTAATCTAACACCGCAGACGTTCATTAATATGATCTATCAAGTAAGTAATTTTAATAAGTATATAGATAATGATAATTAATACCTCCAAGCCATAATCTAAAATCCACTTCAAATTAATTGCCATCAAAATTAATTCGGGAGTTTCATTGTAAGCTAAAACAAACAGTTGCATAATCAACCACCCATAAAATCGCACGTGTCACGCGCACTGAGGTGTAACTAATACTGTCAGTCGTCTGATTTGAATGAAATTCTGGAGACAATCTAACCATGTTGTATACACAAGCAGTAATATTAATCACGGTCTCAAGACAAAACACAAGATTGATAAGTGGAAAATAAAAAAGAAAGAGAAACTGTCATATTTTGTTTGCAGCTATCGAAGTTTCGATGTCACCCGAATTTTCTCGCGAACGAAGACAGATCCACGTGTGAGTCTGCAGACACACCACTTATCATACTTGCATGTATAAAATACCTGAAGGCATAGTAAAAATATTTTGCGATTGTAATTTTTGCGGATTTGTCCTATCCGCAAAAATTGGACAACCGCAGAAAATACCCGTTATACGGTAATCATTAGAGAACCACACTAACACCAGAACCCCTGACGCAGGGGCCATTCAATTCATAATTTTAGAAGATGGCTAATGCTTAATTATTACAATCATGTCAAAAGTTTGACTGCTTGATTTCTAGGAGTAAAGAAAAAGATTTAGAAGATGGCATCAATTCTAGCGGTTTTTGCCCCACTGTTCATGCTCCAGTGACCATGAAATTTATTATTTTTGTTTCCCTTCAGTCATAGCTGCTTTATGCCAAAAATGGTTGAAATTAGTAGAAGGGTTTCAGAGTCGAAGCTAAACATGTTCAAATGTTAACGCACAACAATGGATGAAAAAAAGATGTATAGTAAACTCAGGTAACCACATAATCAAGGTAGACATCGTAAAGTTGATTCTTCAACGTTTCTGATTTATTTTTCACATTTTATAGTTTGGTTTGATCATGATGTAAAGTGTTTTTGACAATTATACAAAGTAACAGAGAACTGCATACCACGCTGATTTCTTGTATCTTGTTACAACTGTGCAGTTACATAAAGTAACAGAGGAATATATACCACACTGATTTCTTGTATCTGATAACAACTGTACAGTTATATAAAGTAACAGAGAAATATATACCACACTGATTTCTTGTATCTGATTTCAACAGTACAGCTTCTATTCATCTTGTTTCTGAGTTTTGTGAAAGAAAACTAAGAATACAGTATTAATATTTATCATACTAACAAAGCATGCATATTTTCAAGCATATTGTACAATGTAACAATTTCATAATCCATCAGGATAATACGAAACTTTTTCAATTAGGATAAAATTGCATATATTTTAGTTTTAAATTTTGATCATTTTTGTATATCTTTATATGCAGCTCTTCTTCAGAAGGAAATCTGAAATGTCCACAATCACCTAGTCCTCCTAAAGTGATACTTTAAACAATGTATTAAATAATTCTTGCAAATGTAAAAAATTCTAAAAATGTAGAACAGTTTTAAAAATTTTGCATGTTTATATAATAAGGATTATGAAAACCTAGCTGTACTGTAAAGAGATGATTTTTTTCTTTCTACTTTCAAACAACTACACAGCACATCTGGAGAAATATATCAAGATAAAGTAACAATATTAGTGTTAACCTATATGAAATATTATAATGACCCCTTTAATAAATCTTGTCATGCATTGTCTATATACAGTTTAGCAGGTCGAGGAAACTATTTTCTGTGACGTCGGAATAAATTTACATGTTAAGTGAGGAAACAACGTGACTGACAAATCGACCAATCAGCTCAATGAGTTGCATTATGGTCTACTACAAAAATACTACACGTGTGTTTCTAAAAGGCCAATTTTTTAAATCGCTCTCGGAAAAACGTGATGCATTTTTCCAAGCATTTTACACACTTAATACAATATGAACATCATTATCTACTGATTCCATGCTCACATTTATATACAAATGATTTGCAATGATAAAAATTAGGGTTTTCTCCACTCCATTGTACAAGTCCGTTTGTTGACAGCTTTCCCCGTGCTGTATAGCTGGACCGTCAGTGAAAAGTGAAATTTCACGTGACTATTCCTTGGTCCAAAAACAATCAACTCTGAGGTGTGCTCACGTATTGTCAATGTTTGTAACGTACACAACCTCGAAATACCGGTATATGCTACTCATGTTGTTAATGTGCATGATGGTTTATATAACAGGTAAATAATAAAAAAAATGCAACTATAGAATTTTTTTTATAAAATGCAAGTTTTAATTTCTTGTAACAAATAACTGAGCAACAACTCCATGAATTTAACCAGTAACATGGCATATTAACGAATATCGAGTTAAAAA